TGAGCAGGACACATTCTCTTTATTCTTACAGTGTTCTATTTATTATCACATGACATTCTCACTAGATTCCAGCAACACCGTTAGACTGAATAAAAGCATACCTTTCAGACAATCGGGGACTTCTGACATGAGCTCCTGTTTTCAAAAGCTATTTTTCCCAAGCATAGGTACATTTAATAATATTTCAAACACTATACCAGATATTAGAAGTTAGGAATATGAGTATGTAATAGGAATATACATATTATATATATTACACCCCACATATAATATATATATGTATATAGTTATACACATGCACACCCCTCTGCTTTGGTTTTCTAACTTAAAGTAGGACTCAGTTCTCTGTAGGAAATAGAAAACAATTTTTTTGAGGTCTTCATTATGTATCAATTCAAACAAGAGGACCTTCTGTTGCAAAGAGGAGTGCTAAATTGATTGTTATAAATATTTATTCATATACACAATGATTGTATTTTACCATAAAAACTATTTCAGGATTAAAGAGAACTGAAATATTCCAGATAAAAGAGGAAAATGCAGGCAAGACCAGCTTTTCAGCTGAATCCTTCCATGTTCATTTCTACAGAAGCAACGCCTACAGTTGAAGGTATAACAGTCTTAGATGCCTGACCATGGGCTCCTTTCCTAGAATTCAGCCCAAGTTCTTTCCCACTTAAGTTTAATCCTCATTCAGGGCCAGCTTTAGTTGGTTAGTTAGGCGGCGGTTTTGCTCAAGTTGTTGATAGAGTTCATCTGTACAGGTCAGCAAGCAGGTTAGCAGAAGAGAAGAGGCAGAAGAAGAGAGGTTAGCTAGACTTGGAGAGAGGGAGTTAACAGACAGAACAGAGATGCCTCCGGCACTGGTTACTTGCTGGACAGGTTACTCTTACCCCGTGGTCATCTGTCCTGTGCCCAGGAAGGTGGATGGTAAAGGCCTGGCAGACTTAGAGCAGGATTTCTCTCTTGGTGGGAGGGGTGGGGAAGGAAAGGGAGCAACAGGGTAGGAAGAAGAGAGAATGGAGTTTCTTCTTCCACCTCGCTACCACCACTACATGAACTGAGCCGAATCCAGTTTCTGGCAACAGCCTGAGGAACCCAGGCAGGGCTGGAGGTGAGCCCAGCACGGCATCCACTCCTTGCTGCGCTCAGTGGAGATCTATGGCGAAACCTCCATCTGCCCATATCCGCTCCTCTTACCCTTTTCATCTCCACTCCGAGGGCTGGCTTTTCTCTTAGGTAGTCCCAAGAGGGGCTACCATTGCTGCATTAACACCTTTTGAAATGCAGAACTAAGCTCCCTGTCCTCCAATCCCCAAGATACAGGGTGCACATTCTGAACTCTTGCCCAGTTCTGATACAGGGTGTGTGCCAACCTACTCAAAGAGCCAAATATCAGAACTTATCTCCACTCAAAACTGACTTAAAATTTATCTTTACTTCTTGAAGATGGTATTTAATGTTTGGAGCTAGATGGATGTGTATAAAGTGAACAAAATCTCAAACATCTACACGGAGATCAGCATAATATAAATTTTACAGGCTGCCATGTAACCTGCTCCACATGGCAAGGAAGCCAAGCACAGGAGTTAGTCTACATATGAGGATCCAGGGGACACCCAGACAATGACAAAAACCCGGAGGACACATGATTGTTTCGAACGATGGTGACAATCTGAACCCAGAAATTCTACTTAATGATCTCGAAAAGCTGGCAGTCCTGTCCCTGGGGAAAATGGAAATGCCCAGTCTCTAGCCCTATGCCTGTGGGAAACTGATCAATTCTTATTTTAACTTTCTCTTATAAATGGTAGGAGACGCTTCCAGCTGGAAGTGTATCTTGCCTTGTCCTCTTTGCTCACCCAAATTTTCTGAACATTCAAAACCCTGGCCAAATGTCACCTCCTCCAGGTAGCTCCCAGTCAGAACTGTTCTCTCTTCCTCTCTGACTCCAACTACAGTCAAACCTCGGTTCTTGAACGTCTCCCATCTCCAACAAATCGGTTCTCCACCAAGTTGTTGTGAACCAAACTTTGGTTTTTGACCCGACAACCCTTTCAGGCTGACACCTCCTCATGACAGAAGGCATCTCTCAGGCAACAAAAGGGAGAATGTTTTTGTTCCTGGCCAAATAGGATCAGCACAATTTTAAAACATAAAGAGGCCATCAAGAGTGCTAATGTTGCTAAGGCTGTGAAAGAAACAACGATGCCAGGCAATGGAAGAGGTAGAAACTGTTGTTGATTTGGGTAAAGGAAAAGCAGCTAGCAGGTGACAGCCTATCAGAGGCAGTGATATGTGAAAAATCGAAGATGCCTCATGCTGATTTCCTGAAAGTGATTCCTTTGAGGCTGGTAGGGGATGATTCGATAAATTTAAAAAGTGTTTGCAGATTAAACAGTAGACATGTACTATATATTAGAAAGGTTAAAAGAGGTAATCACTTGGGGGTTTGGAAAGGATTAATTCCATTTACGTTATTTCTAATGGAAAAAAAGGGATTTGGTTTTTTAACAAATTGCTTCTCCAACAGCCTTCTGGAACGAGTTTAAGTTCGAGAACCGAGGTTCCACTGTATATACCATCTATTAGTTCAGACTCACTTCGCTCATCTATCTTCCCACAAGATGGCAAAGAACATTTCTGGTTCATCTCTTTACCACATCCCAACTACCTTCCTTCCACAGTGTCTTGTATATGGCATAGGTTTCGGGGTTTCAAAATCTAACCACACTAGTACATCACACTCTCAGATGGGGAACTACTGCCAAGGGCAGGCAGGATGTCTGTCTGTGAGCCAGTGCTCAGCCAAATGGGATGGAAGGGCTTTGCAGAAACCCTAGAGAATCCGGAGGATCAATGTGAATTCAGCTTCCGTGACAGCTGTCCCTACCACCTCCCCCTGGGGACCTGCCCCTTTCAGCTGCCCTGGGGCTGGTATGCCCCGGTGGCCTGAGGGCAGGGACCAGAACCAGTTATATATTTGGACGTTCCCCCTCCTCCACGGCCTCCCAGGTGTCTGGGGCCTCTGGTGCCGGCTCAGTCATGCCTTTGGTTTGGCCCAATGAGGCTCCTGCAGCAGCTGGAGTTCGGGCCTGGCCCTCTGAACTGGAAGCCTGGGCTCTGACAATTTCTTGGTAAAATCAACTAGCTATTTCCTCTCTCGTGTACCCATACCTTCTTGGGCTATTCCCGATTTGCCTTTCCAATTTATCAGTTTCCCATTTCCCCTCGTAGAATCTGCTTATAGAAGCGTGAAAGTCTGGGAGGGTTTTGAAACCACAGACGTGCCTCCACAATGCACTGAGCACGTGCTCAGCAGAACCTGCAGACGTGTCGTTTTGCCTATTGCGGGAAGCAGGGTTACTCACAGAGGAGCCCACTTCTATTAGTCTCAACTTAAAAAGAACAGGGCAGGAATCATAGTCAAAAGCAGGCCCATGGAGCCTCAGGAAAAGAAAAACATGAAGTTACAGAAGTCTTCATACTCTCAAGGGAGAGACATTGTCCGGAATCTAATTTTTAAAGAGTCTACTATACCATTACTAAAACACTTTACGGCCCTCATAGGGTATTTATTACCTGCTCTGAAGTCTTTGTAAAGTAACTGGTATTATTTCCAGCTTGTTCAAATTTATTTGAGTAAAAATTGAGTATACCAAATATATAAAATAGTGGTACATCAAATCTCTTAGGCTAACAAAAAACTACACACAAACAGATGAAGGTCACCCATATTTAAAACACAGGAGAAATACAGCTAGACTATTGAGGAGGGAGAAATGTTGGAAATTAGAAAACAAAAGTCCACATCATTATGGAGTCGTAATTTAAAAAAAAAAAAAATCACTTAATTGCTGTTTTTGAAGTAAATAGTGAAGCCCAAATAAAAAGTAATTGTGTTCTGAACAATTCCCACTAACTACTTTCTTTTGGGGGGGGGGGGGGTCAGAAGAAACATTAATGACTATACTTTAAAAGTGTCCACAAATTTAAAAAAAGACCCAAACCAGTTATTATTGCAAAGATTATGTACCTCTTCTAAAGAATACAGATGTGCTTAAGAGCACAAAAATAAATCTCAACTTGAACATAATCAGATTTAGAAAATTTGAGAAGTCATTTCATGATCAAAATGAAGGTTTAAAAAGCTTTAACTGTTCTTTGTGCTATAAAAGGAGGATCAACGATAACCTCAACTTACATAGCTTGATCCAAGTTCTTTTTCATCATTCCCAACACGTAAAATCCTAGCAATGTGGGATGGCTATGGAGCTTTCGTCAGGAGCCCTTCATTGGTCAGGCATGAACTCCGAAGCAGGGCCATCCAATATCAGCACAGAAGACTCACCACATCCCCAACTAAACCTCTGGCAGAGGAAGACGCTGCTCAAGGTGCATCTTCCGACTCCAACAAGGAGTGTCCTGTGTAAAGGTTCTAATCTGGACCACATGCCAGAACCATCATAATCCCTAAAAAAACACAAATGCCCAGGGTCTCACTCTAACCTTTGGAAATCCAAACTCTGAGAGGGACCGGCATGAGATTGACTGACTGATTATTTCCTCACCTGAGGACATGCTTAGAGAGAGGAAGGGAGAGAGAAATATTGATGTGAAAGAGAAACATTGGTTGGCTGCCTTCCGTACATGCCCCAACCAGGAACTGAACCCCAAACCCAGGCATGTGCCCTGACAGGGAATTGAACTGGCAACCTTTCGGTGCCCAAGACAACGCTCAATCAACTGAGCCACTCCCGCTGGGCATTAGCATTTTTTTTTAAAGTTCCACAAGGAACTACTGTCTCAGAAACTCTTGATACTAATATATGTTCAGAATGGGGGGGAAAAAAAAGCAGCAGCCAAAAAATTAACCCTCACATGCGTGAAGCAGATATGCAGTTTTATTCAGTGTTGAAACTAAAATGTGAAGTAAAAAGAATAGCAAACAGAAATAGCTTACACAGTGTTTATTTTACACTGAACTGAAGAGCTTCTGTACAATAGGAAGCGCACGGTGTGCCCGGCCCGAAGGCAGGATGCTAAGAGAGAGAACAGGGTCAGCTGGAGGAGAGACCAACTGCGGAGCGCAGAGAGGTGGGACACCCAGCTTGATGAAGGGGTCTTGGGAGAAGTGAAGCAAAGAGACTTATCTGCATGAAGAGAAAAGGTGAGAGAAAAAGAAAAAAGTGGCACAATGGAAAAAAGGAAACCCGGACCAACATGAGAGGAGCGCTTGAAGCACAGGCGAGAAGCAGACATGCAAACCGCTGCCAGCTGTGCCCGAGGGAGGCCGGTCCTCGCCCCCCGGCTCTGGACCGGAGGCATCACAGGGCCCCTCTGGGTCAGGGTCCATTTTAAGAAGACCCATGAACAGAATTTTAAAACAAATTTTGAACTCAACCCATCTTTCAGAATATTTAATCATACTTGATGCTTCAAATTTCCCACATAGAATCACCACACGTATGGTCTTATGGAAAAGGCCCTGGAGACAGATCATCTGACCCACGCTCTCTTTTTCAAATGAAGGAAGAGAGGGTGACATGCTCTAGTTTCCATGGTGACCATCATGTATGTCTCCAAGGGTAACGTGGAGACTCCATAAGCTGTGAGGCAGCAGGCCCATTTTCCTGCATGGGTTACTAAGGAAGGACAGGTGGGCCAGGAAAATGAAATTTCCTGCTTATCCGGAATTCAGTGCCAGATTATTACAACGAAGAGAACCCTCTGTGAAGCACTCCAGGTTAGAATGTAGAGGCAGTGTAAGCTTAACGTTTAGGTTGGGTTAGTAGTGTGTAAATTGGTCATGTCTGCTCAAGGTTCTCATGAGAACAAGACTATTGACTCCAGCACTCACTACCTCACAGTATGAAAGCGGGCCATTAACTCCCAAACGCACATTGTGCTGCTTATGCCCCATTCCTTGGACACAAGTTGTGGCATTTATTGGGAGTATTTTAGTTCCTTTTATGTAAACAGAAATGAGAGGCGTGGTTTCTCAGCAGAGGGTTCATTTCTCTACAACTCTTAACCGTGAGAAAGAGAAGATATTTTACAGCTGTACTGGATCCATTTCCTTCCCCTCAGAGCCTCTGTCATCTGACGCTTTAGGGTTCTTAAATTCATATTTCTTTTTTTGAAAATGGTATTTTATTTAATTGGATCTCAGAAAACCATTTTTTGATAGTGCTTTGGGAAGTTCCTGTACAACTGCATGGCTTTCTCATTTTACTTGAGCCTAGTTTAATTTCCTGAAAGGATAGTACTCAAGACATTCACATTCCAGTTCACTGCTTTGTGGGAAGAATTGAGAAATGAATGGATTCTGAAGGGAAAATGACTTGTACAGACAGACTTCATCTACTTGGCCTTTATATTAGTAGAATGTAAAAAAACAACCACCAATGATTATGCCTCGGTTATGCAGAAAGAGTAAGCAGGAAGGAGCGGAGATGGAGATTCTGGAGGCCCAGAAGGGAGCAGTGGTGAGGTTATCGGATTAGCATGAGCGCACGGATGTGAGCAGGCAGGGTGGATGCGCATTTACATGGAAGTCATATCGTTGAGAGCGTGGTCCAGCTCCTCGCTGATGGCTTTGTACTTCAGTTTCTGAGCGTACAGCTCGTCTATGACCAGGAAGTGGAAGGCAGAGGTGCAAGGACATGGAGAGTGATCAAGAGATGGAAGGTGAGTGAGGGTGGCACGGGCGCCATCCCAACACAGCAGCAAGAAAAGGGCAATGCATGAAGGAAGTGGTGCCGCAGCAGGTGGCCAATGCAGGAGGCGTGCGTTTTGTTTTTAAATGAATTGAAACAAAAACAAAAAGAACACAACCCATTAGAAAATAAAACAAGAACGACGCAATATGAAAATCATAACAAATATGGTAGGTATATCAGTAAACCACGTTTAGCTCTAAATAAAACCACAGAAGGATGTCTCCTGCGTGAGTAATGGAAGGTCTTTCTTTTCTAGAGTTATATTTTAATTACAGTGCAGCAGGCAGCCAACGGCAACTATAAACAGAGGAAAAAATATACAAGGGCAGTGTTTTGGAACAACAGTTTGTGACCCTAGTCTGTTGTCCTTATCTGGCTCCACCTGCAAACCACAGCCTTGCTGACCAGACCAGACCACTGGGATATGGATGTCTTAGTGCATGTGAACCACTCGTGGTCTTCTCACTCAGGCCGCCTTGCGCGTGGTCCAGAAGGCCTGACAAGCGAGGGGAGCCACGCTTTTTACGGTGGCGTTGTGCCAAGTCTGCACTGTAGTTTTTGTAGTGATGGCTGCGCATTTTGCCGCCCTGGGGTGGACTGTGACTTTTTGTCATTCTCTCCTCTCTACTAGCGTGGTTATCGCCTACACTGATCTCCAGTACCTTTTTTAGCCTTGATTTTTTCATTCTTTTTCATTGCTGACCCTTCACAAGCCTCTGAGCTCAACATTTAGGATTTCTGTGACTCAGAGTGGGTGCTACAATAAAACCTAAATACCTTAGGGGAGAAATGCTAAAGTGTAATCTCAAAATACGACATCCTATTATCCCCAACTCCTTTCAGTACCAAGATAACTAATGACAAAAAACCCAGACCCTTACACTGAATTCATACTTGGAAGAAGATGGGCTGTGTCTAAGAACAAATCCATACCATCTGATACTTAGGAGGTATTACTATCGACAGAAAACATACTGGAGTCACTCTCACCTACAACCACCTGACCCACAATGAAAAATAACCTTGCCCCACCGAGGAGTGTGAGGTAAAACTGGACGGCATCTGCCGTTACCAAACAGATGTGCCCTGTCTGGTGGCTCAGTCACCTGGTGAGCAGGCCACTCAGGTCCGAGAGTTTAAGTGCCACAGAATGAAACCCCAAGGACAGACAGGAGGAATGTGCAAGAGCAAAGGTGAATATACGTCAAGGTGAATGCACTTGGATTAGAAAATCATTTTGCCAGGTCAATACTCAACCGTAAGAGTTCAAGTGAAAACAAAACTTAAGACCTTACCTTCTAAGTCATCAATGCTTTTCTCCAATTTAGTTACTGACCTCTCCGCAAACTCAGCCCGAGTCTCAGCCTGTAATGATTCAATGTGTTTCGGTCAAAATTGGGATGTTTTAGGTTTCCAGGAGTGATGAATACAGGGAAAAACGAGAACATGGAAATCCAGCGCAGCACCCATAAACTGGGCCAGAAACCATTCGTCAGCCAGTCACCACAGTGAGAGGTGGCAGCTAGCACAGCACGGGAACCCTGAGACCACCTCTGGTTATTCTTGACGTGGAGCAGCACAACTTCAACATGAAAAGGCCCTGACCTGCTCCATGAAAATGAGCTCATTTAAAATTCAGGTAGCTTTGCCCAAAGCAGTCATAACATTACCTCCTTCAGCTTGTCAGAAAGGACCTTGATCTCCTCCTCATATTTGTCTTCCTTCTGAGAGTACTGTAATTAGAAAGAACGTTCCAGATGTCAGGCCACGGCTCACTCTATACTCCTCTCCTCTAATACAAAGGCAGCGCCAGCCCAGCAAACAGATGTTGGGGATCTCTCAGGCGGTAATGGAGCCTCCCAGATCAAATGGCATACTACAATACAGTCTCTGTTCGCCTGCCTATTGTTTTACATGGGATAAGAACAAGATAACATCCATTTGGCACTGGGTTTAAATTAAATTGTTACAGATGACTCACAGACTCAATATAAAATACATTCTCTATTAAAAAAAAAAGAGAATCTGCTATTTGATAACCATCAGGAAATCACCTCAAGATGATGCCCTTTACGAAAAATGCCTGAAGGACTACTGCTTTTATTGGCAGGGCCTCCGAAGAGAAAAAGCGGGTGTCTTTGGAGCAGCTGTTAAGAGGTGCCTTTTCCCCCACGCCATGCTCCTGGCCTACCTTCTCAGCCTGAGCCTCCAGTGACTTCAAGTTGTTCGTCACAGTTTTCAACTCTTCTTCCAGCTCGGCACACTTGCTAACGTTTGCGACCAGAGGCAGAAAGGGTGGGGGACAAGCCAAAGGAGGGAGGAGAGAAAAAGGAGAAGGATGGGAGAAAATGAAAACCGAGTCCTAGAGAACAAAGGGCTGCCTGAAAGTAGCCAAATCACCGGGTAGTAACACAATTTCGGCAGGGACACTGCCCCCCAACCTTGCAAAAGCAGAAAGGCAGGGTGACAAAATCCAACAACGTCGAAGTGTGATAATTTGGCTTCTTTCTTTGGCGGCACCGAGGAGCATTTATGAAGGAAAAACAAAGGAGTACAAAGAACCCAAAGACGGCACTTAAAGCGAGATATAAGATAGCAGAGGGTGTAGTGAAGGTGCAGCTGTTATACCAAACGCACCAGTAGGTATTGGAAGCTGAAAGATGTCTGGGTTGGAGTTAAACCTAAAAACCACACGAGCCATCAGTACCTTATCCTCTGCAGCCATTAATGCTTTCAAGGTCTGATCCATTATTCTTAATTGTTCTTCCAGCTGTCGAACTTGGCTGTTAGTGGACACAGGAAATGCACAAGGCCATTCTCAAAATCAGTGTGCAGGTAAGGCATGCAGTGATACACGCATTCATACACAGACACCCCACACAAGTCCTCCGTGTTCTAGACTCGTGGCTCATCCATGTCAAATGGGCACGTAGGGAGCCCGGAGCTGAGACGGGTAAATGTGCAGCTGCCAGAAGGTCATGCTGTTTAGTCACTGCTCTGCAGCACCCCACACACAGCGTCCTGGCGCCGGGCCCGCTTACCCTTCTGAGAGCTCAGCCCGCTCCTCTGCACGTTCCAGGTCACTCTCAATGATGACCAGCTTACGGGCCACCTGCGGCGGGACAAACACAATGCAGACGCACATCGTGGGCTTGCCAGCTGTGAGTCAGGGGTTGTGGGGTGGGGAATGGATCCATCAGCCCCTAGAAGACCTTGTCTACAAATAAGATGATCCCCTTTCCTGTGGACGGGAGAGAACCTGCTCTCCACCAGGAGAGCCAATGGGAGGAGACCAGAATGGTTCGTTATGAACGGGCAGCCTCATTTTAAGTCTGACCGAGATGAAGTCTGTATAATTACATAGCAGCCAAACCAAAGTGTGGAAGAAGGGAGAAATATGAAATTCATAATCTCAAAAATAGCAGTATGATGAGAAATGATGCATTTTTTTTTTTTTTTTTTTTGCCAAAGAGGTAGGGGCTGCCAAGAAAATACTGAAAATAATCCTGAGGACTGCATCCATTTAGAGCTCTGTACCTCCATCTCCTTTTTGTGGAGGAGGTTAAAAATGCCAACAGAATAGCAAGGGAAGCTAACATGACTTGAGCCGGGGAGATGACTAATGAAGTCAAATCTGTATTCAGTGAAAGAAAGAACCTGAGAGAAGGAATCCTCTGAACCATTTCAAAATTAACGGGCATAATGTCATCTGGAAATAATCATAACAATAATAAAAAGGAAAGTGAAAGCTATGTCAAGACAGCCACGGTGCATGAAGGGCAAACTAAAACCCTAACAGTTATGTTGCTGTTATCACAGGAAGTGGTGTTCATGGGGACATGACCAGAGGCTGACTTAACTGTGAACCTGTGCTGATAATGGAATTATGCTGTCTTGAGGAGAGAGGAAGACAGATTGAAAACGTCCTCTGCGATCAATCACCCCAGTGAGTACACGGTCCATGTCTCTAGGCTGCCTGGACAGGACCATGCAGGGCAAGTGCTCCAAGAACTGTGTGCATGGTGACAGCAGGAGAGGTCCTTCCACAGACACAGGAGGCAACACTCCCTCCTCCTGGCCAAGACTTTTTGTCCAGGTCTTTAGGGGGCAGGGGAGGGGCAGAGGGAGAAGCTTTGGTCTTTCTCAGTGTTACTGATCTGCTTCATGATGAAGCCTAGACCCCCCAGCAGGATCCAATAAGAACCGTGTCCTGCAGACAAAGGGACTCTGCTTCTCAAAACCACCATTTCTGCCAAGGGAGTCGAGTTGATAGTTTCACTGAAGAATGCAAGGTGTGTGCCCTGCTCCTGTCCCCCACCCCCGGGCCACTGTGGGGGGAGGGGGGGTTTGAGAGGCTATGGGCCCCAGGATCTGACCTCTTCATACTTGCGGTCGGCATCTTCAGCAATGTGCTTGGCCTCTTTCAGCTGGATCTCCTGAATTTCCATTTTCTCCTCATCCTTTTGGGCTCGACTTTCAATGACTTTCATGCCTCTGAAAAGGAAAACAAGAACAAGACCCCAGATTTAGAGTTGACCTCCACAAACCTACACCCTGCACTGCAGGTTCGGGAGGCTTAGTGTGACTAGTAGACCAAAACAGAGCACACAGCTACTTTTCTTTTCCAAGCCTTGAAGCAAGAGTTTCCAATGCTGAGGCAGAAAGATATATCCTTCCGTTTATTGCGAGTGAAACCTCACGCTCCCGGTCCTGGTGAAACTGTCTAGGAATCTAATGTGAAATGAAAGGTTCCGTCGGGAGGCAGGGCAACAGGAGAGACCAACATGCTTTACTTGTTATAGAAATAATGCGATTTCTTCCCTTTCCTCGTGGGAAGCTTTGGCTGGAAAATGGACCAGAGTTAGAACAAAAGCATATTTATCTTCATACACTTCCTCCTACACAGATGGTAGTTGTTCTTACCTCGAGCCTCAAATGTAAATATTAGATTGAATCATACGAAATTGCTGGTATTTGACCATGTCAAACCTGTATAAACAGCAGGTTCATATGGGTCAACCTAACGCTTGAGATAAGAAACGATGAGTATTGCTTTTAATGGAACTCTTTCATAACGGAGGTGCCGACAGACAGGACTGACACCATCCTCTAAGCCGATATGCATGTTTGGATCCTATGGTACGGTGTTAAGTTTTGGAAAATGTGAACTGACTTACAACATGTTACAGATTTATAGAATAGCAATTCATGTTAAAATGGGATTCACTGACCAAAATCTAAGTAGACAGTAAGATAAAGCAGCCACTGTTTTTTGATCAAGCCCTACAAATATGCTTCAGGAGACTCGAGTTCTACTCTCGGCTCAGCCATAAGTTGGCTGCGGGATGTTGGGCAGGCCGACCAGTCTCTGGGCCCTAGTTTTCTCATCTGTAAAATCAGGGGACTGGAGTAAAGATCCTGACATTCCTTTTTACTCCAAAGTCTAACACGGCCAGATTCAGATCATCGCCTTTTAGGTTCATTAGCAAGTGTATTTCAGGAAGAAGTCAGCCACAAAACCACCGGTATGTGTAGTGTACACTGTTCACGATGGTGAGTCATCTTAAAGAATTCCAAAACTCTTGGTCAAAGAACAATAAGCAGCAGTGAATTATGAGCTGAAAACTTCAGCTAAAAAGCTTCTTTAATCCTACAGTCTGAAATCACTCTTTATCCATGTGGCAGGGAGCAGAAAATCACTTCCAAGAAGAAGAAATGGACAAAATGATTGACGGCGTCCGCCTGCCGGGTCCCAGCCCAGATCTGCAGTGTTTGGAGCCACCACACTGCTGTCATCCCTTAAGCAGCAGAGCTCTCTCTGGTCTCAGGGAGTCTTTCTCGGAGTGTTCCTTCGCAAGATGAATACATCAACTTCAACAGCTGAGAAAATGCCTTCTGAAACACACGACGTTGTGCTGGTCTACGTGGCCACCGTCTTCCTTCACTACCACAAAGCTGGATCTTGGAGCAGTAAGTCAGGGGGGGCAAGCAGGCTCAGAAGAAACAAGTATCTGATTGCATTTACATGTGCGAGTGTCTTATTAGCATGGCTAAGCCCAAAGCAATTTGCTTTTGCAGAACATATTTCTGTTTTATCTGTGTTTTCTCTTCCACCTGTTTGTTGGACTATGCGACAACCGACAGCCCATTTTTACTTAAGCCTGAAACAGTTATCTTTTTAAAATGCCTCGTTGCTCCAGGGCCAGCAGTAATGAAGAACCATTATGCATCCCTAGAATTTCTTGTTTACACGTCATCTCCCTTGTTGGCTGGTGAGCTCTATGAGGACAGGAAGAGGGTCTTTTTCTTCTTTGTAACTAACCCTGGAGTTGAAAGCCCCTCTGTGCTTTATCTAAAAGCACCCATGTTAAATGAACAAAACCAATAAATCCACCACTAATATTAAATGAACAAAACCAATAAAGTTATACCTGGGATCAAAAGAGGAAATGATCCCACCCAAAGACTGCAAAATTCTTAAGCCCCAAGATCAGAGAAGCCCTCCCGGTCCATCCACCTGGAGGAAAGGCTGATGCTAAAAACCGGGCTGGGTGAGACGTCCTCACCTCTCACTCTCATCTGCTGCCTTCTCAGCCTCCTCCAGTTTCTGCAAAGCTGTTGCCAGACGCTCTTGGGCTCGATCCAACTCTTCCTCAACCAGCTGGATGCGTCTGTTCAGAGAAGCTACATCGGCTTCGGCCTAGGCAGGGAGAGTGAAAGGCGTTCAGAGTTGGGGGAAGTGAGGGTAGTGCCTTCAGGAAGTGGCTGAGACTGAAATACTGATTTCAGATAGGAAGCCAGGGCCTTGTGGTGAGCTACCCCTAAGTGCACTGCAAGCTCTGGTCAACCTGGGAGTTCCTGGACATGTTTGTACATTGTTCTACACACGGAATGTCCACATTTGTGTACGTCCACATCCATACACACCATGCTCACTGGGAAGAGGGGACATTAGCAAATGCTTTCTCACTTGGCTCCTTTCTTCCATAGATCTCAACACACTGGCTTCCCCTGACTGTTTAAGGCCCTAAAATATTTCAAAATTCAGTGGCTCTAAAATATATACCATACAGACACCACTAAATCCCGTACCCCCCTCCCAGCCCCTTTTCAGAAATCCCTTCAGAGTAACTAGCCACACTGGAAGGGGACCAAGACAAATTTCCCAAGTGTTTCCAACGTAAGCCTACTGGAATTCCTCCCTCCCTCCCTTCCTTAAAATTTAAATTCTTTATTGTTTAAAGTATTACATGTCTTCAAGCCGTTCCCACTCTCCTGGAATTTCTTACAAGTCAAGATTGCTATAAGAAAAAGTTCAAATTCCTTAGGTCAAAAGCAGTACAGATACTGTTTTATCTGTATCTATCTCTGAAATAGGATGTTTCTTTCTAGGGAATTAGATGATCACCTACTGGTGAAAGCATTGTTACTACAAGCCTCAGAACACTTGGAAGACTGATGGTCCATTACATACACTTGTATTGGTAGCTGTTTAAATACTATGCATGCAAACAGCCCTGGCCAATATTTCTCAAGTGGTTAGAACATTTGGCCTGCACTCCAAAGGGTCATGAGTTTGATTCCCAGTCAAGGGCACATACCTGGGTTGCAGGTTTGATCCCTGGCCCCAGCAGGGGCTTGTGCAGGGGGTAACCAATCAATGTGTCTCTCTCACATCAATATTACTCCCTCCCTCCCTTCCACTCTCTCTAAAAAATCAATGGGAAAAATATCCTTGGATGAGAATTAACACACAAAAAATAAATATGCAAGTGAGATATGGAATTTATTAATCTGGTACTATTTCTTCATTCTCACCCATTTTGAATGTTTGCTTATCATGGGGTGATGGGGTTTTCAAGACACATAGAAAGTTTTCTAAAAATTACAACACACACTTATGGACCTATGCTAGTTTCCTATCTAGATTCCTGTCTTCTTTGCTCAACTGTAAGCTTCATATGTACAGGGAATCAGGATTCCCTGCACAGAGTATGAGCTCAGCAAATGTCTATTGAGTAAAATGAGTAAAACCAAGCTAATTTAAACAAAAGCAACTTTCTTAGCTCATGAGCACATGATATACACAGTCTGAAATGCGCACACAGTTAGCGGGGGGCTGTGATTATGGCCTCGAATCAAAGGAATACAAGAACATTCAGCTCTTTGCTCATCTGTGCCAAGTTCTGTCTGGGAAAGATAAGTGATTAGGGCATTTGGTGAAGGACTTGATAACAACATTCAAGTATACTTTCATCTTGTCAAAAATTAACTATGCAGTAAAAATTGGCTGACGGAGGCAGGGAGCAGTGGGAAACAGGAAATGAATCTGAGAAGGATGGTTTACAACTGTACTGGCCCACAAAGGAGATCGTAGGTGCACAGCAAGGAATGGGCCCCACTAAGTCTGACCTGCAGGGGCTGTTGGACTTTTTGGAGGAGGGTAAGGGTAACAGGGGTAATACATTCCTTAAGTATAAGGAATTGTCTTTTTAAAGTCTTCGGCCCTGTTTTTTAAAAATTAGGAGAAGAATATACTAAGGGTATAGTTTTGGGTCAGGCCTGCTTTCTTCATTTTTCTATATTTTCCACACCCAGTAAAATTCAATTCTTTTATGAACAGGGGAAACAAGTAAGCAACTCTCAAAGTTGAAAACAAAATGAAGAGCAAAATCAAGCAAACGAAAACCCTTAGTAGAGTGCATAGATCATTTACTCAAAAGTACCCCCCTTCCTTTCCTAATCCTATATAATAATCCTATATAATAAAAGGATAATATGCAAATCGACCAATGATGGAACGACTGGTTGCTATGACATGCACTGACCACCAGGGGACAAACACTCAATGCATAGCTGCCTCCTGGTGGTCAGTGCACTCCCACAAGGGAAGCGCCGCTCAGCCAGAAGCCCAGCTCATGGCTGTGAGCACTGTGGCGGTGGTGGGAGCCTCTCCCGCCTCCGTGGCAGCGCTAAGGATGTCCCACTGGTGACACACACACACACATATTCATTATCTGTTCGTCTATGTATGGACACCTAGGTTGCTTCCATAGTTTGGCTATTGTAAGTAACACTGCAATGAACATAGGGGTGCATAGATTTTTTTGAACTAGTGTCTTTTATTTCTTTGAATAAATACGCAAAGGTGGAAGCCCGCTCCCCCTGGGGAGCGGGCCTAAGACATCAGTCAGACATACCCCAAGGGCTCCCAGACTGCAAGAGGGCACAGGCTGGGCTGAGGGACCTCCCCACCCCCAGTGCACGCATTTCATGCACCAGGCCTCTAGTTATTAATATAAAGGCAGGCACCCTTGTTACAGGTGGTGTGGCCAGAGAAACATTAACAAAATTTTTAAAAATGCTTTTTTTGTTTTGTTTGTTTTTTGTAGCCACCACACCAAGTTCCCAGTCCCGCTTTCAATCTGGGTCCCAGCCCTCAGGACTTTGTACTCATAAAAAAGAGACTGTTTAGGATCTGGGGACAGAAACTTCTGGGTGACAGGCCAGTCTATGTCAGCTTCCCACACAGCTGGGGCATTGGAGTGTGTGTAAGGGGACAGCACCCCATGTTTAGCTCTGCCTCTGCACTCAAGATCTCTCTCTTGAGAGGTCCCTCTATCAATATATATCTTCCCTCTTATTCTACTCCCACCGCTTCAGCCCTCCCTCCCCCCAACACACACAACCATTCTTTCCTTTAGCTCTGGACACGGTTTTATAAACGTCACTGACTCTTCTCCCCAGGAGCATTTTATAGGACCTTCCACCTGACATGACGGGTTGTATCCTATGGAATACCAGCCAACAGGACCTCTTATAGGGCACAAAAGCAATGACGGGGAATGGAGATATGTTCCAGGAGCCAGGACTGGCGCGCACAGACAGCTGACCTATGGGTGGTCTGCAAAACAGAGGCTTCGATTGTTTAGCTGGAAGGGCTAGCTCGTCATCTAGCTAGGCATCGTCTAGCACAGTGGTTCTCAACCTTCTGGCCCTTTAAATACAGTTCCTCCTGTTGTGACCCAACCATAAAATTATTTTCGTTGCTACTTCATAACTGTAATGTTGCTACTGTTATGAATCGTCATGTAAATATCTGATATGCAGGCTGGTCTTAGGCGACCCCTGTGAAAGGGTTGTTCAACCGCCAAAGGGGTCGGGACCCACAGGTTGAGAACCGCTGGTCTAGCAGTTCCCACAACCGGCTGATGGTCAGAGCCCACATGGAGATGTGTATTAAAAACATAAATTTCCAGCCCACATCCCTAGAGATTCTGCTTCAGGTCAGAGGGGAGGGCAAGAATCTGTGCTATAAACAAGCAACCTGTTCCACTCCTCCACCCTCTCCGCCCCATCGCCTAAAAGGCGCTGGCCAATTCCATGGGAACCACTGTTCGAGCTCTCCCTTCACAAGGAAATAGGAAGAAGGTGGGATCTCTGACCCCAAATGCTGAAGTAGGCTCAGGTCCACAGCCATCGGTGGGAGACAAGACTAACATCCCAGTTGTCTGACTCCTTGTGCGCGGCTGTCACTTCTCCTCACGGCCCCTGGGCCCTCATGGGAGCCCTGGAACTGGTCCCCTGGAGTCTCGTCTCTTCCCAAGCCAGAGGGGGAGGTTCTCTACAGCCACGCCCAGCCCAACTCCCCAACCCACAATGGCCTTGAGTGACAGACACTAACCAGGACTAGGAGGGCAGTTGCTGTATTCAATATCACGCACTAAACAAGTCCGCTCAGTCCTTTTTGAAATTTTTTGATATTTGCAACCATAGTAAAACAAAGACTTATATTTTTGATATTTACTTTATATATTTAAATGCCGTTTAACCAAGAAAAATCAACCAAAAAAATGAGTTCACGTGTCACCTCTGGCATGCGTGTCATAGGTTCGCCATCACTGCACTAATAGGTAACAGCTGACATTCAAACACAGGATTTGCTCTCAACCCCAGAAGCCAATGTCCGCTGCCCCAGAGGTTTCCGAGCAGGACCAAGGTGCCTAGGGTACAGCCTGGACCCGAGAGCAGTATCTGGGGTACATCTGTCTCTACGTAAACTTCCCCTGGGAAAAACCTGGACTCCCCCTGGTTCTCAGGCCCTACCATACTGGTCTGATCACAATTCCGTTTGGTTCCCTAGAATTCGCCTCTTTACGTTTCCTCCCCTGCTCCACTTTTTTTTTTTTTTTTATTAGGAGGGAGGGGAGAATCATGTTCTGTGTTCAAAAGGCCCACTAGCTTTTATTTCCGGTTTGTATTTTTCTAAGTTCGGAGTTAGACACTTTCTAAGTTCCTTTCATCTCAGCACCTGGGCAGTCTACTTAAGACTTACCCTGCTGCTGCCTCTGCCAGCACAAGCCTACAGCTCCATGGCCAACCGCCTGTTATTTAAAAAGCAGATATAAATAACAAGGCTTTTGGGAAGGGTCAAGACCCAAGATGCAAATTATTTCCAGGCATGGAAATCACTCTTGGTGTGCTGGGTGAGCTGCTTCTAACAACAGCCTGTGTGTTGATGCTGCTGGCGAAGTCTTTCAGTTTGGGATGCTGGTTTCTTTTATTTCAAAAGTGCTATTGTGTCCCCACATGTAATGAGCTACTCAGAAAAGAGACTGCCATGGTAGCAAAGGAGACCAATTGTCTTCCTGCAGATCTGTTGTTAAATAACCTCGAGGAGCTCTACCCTTGTGAAGTGCC